CTGCCACGCCGGCTGGGCGTCTCTGCAGGTTTCAACCTCTGGCGGTGAGAACGAGAAGGAGGCATCTTTCTCATCACGGATGTTTCTCTCTCTCTCCCCCTCCCCCTCCCTCTCTGAAATCAATTAAATAACATATTTTCAAAAATAAAATAAATAACAATAAAAACGCAGGATGCCCGGTTCTATTTCCACTGCCAAGAAGCAGCGATGAGGTTTTCAGGTGAGCGTCCTGAATGTTGCCTGGCCGCCCTCCCTCTTGGATGTTGGGCCTTTCACCCCGATGTCGGGGTTGGGGGGGCAGCTGGGGACTAAGGCTGCAGATCGGGGGTGGGGGTGGGGGGGAGCACCCACCAGACAGCGGAGCCCCTGAGCAGAGAGCGGACGTGGGGGGAAAACGAGCCAGACGGTTCACATCCTGGAGGCAGAAGCTGTGCGTGCCCCCCGGGGCCCACAAACCCTCCTGTGGGTGGACGGGGATGTCCTGTGACCTCCTGTGCGTGGGAGGGGATGTCACGTGACCCCCTGGGAAACTCCCTCCGGCCCAAGCTCGCCTCGAAGGTCTCTGTTCCCCACCACACCGTCCCCGCCAGCACCCAACCTTGCACAGCTGGCCAGGTGCCTTCCGTGGGCACAGAGTCGCTCCCCCAACTGGGCCCCGTGCGCCCCACATCAGAGGAGAGGAAAGAGGAAGAGTGGGCGTGAGAGGGAAGTCCCGGGAAAGACACCCCCCCCGACACACACACTCACGGGAAGGCCTGTGTCTCTCTCGCTCCCACGCTGAGGCCGGGGACCCTGCTCTTCCCATGAGCAGGCTGGTCTTGGGGGAAAGGGACCCCCTCAAGTCCTAGGCTTGTAAAGATTCTGTGTGGGGATTTGCAGCCGGAAGCTGCAAAAGATACAAAAACAGCTGTATCATTTAGGAGAGAGCTTGCAGGGTTGTTTTAAAAGTGTATTAATTTTAGAGAGACGGGGGAAGAGGAGAGAGAGAGAGAGAGAGAGAGAGAGAGAGAGAGAGAGAGAGAGAGAGAGAGACACGGCTTTGTGGTCCCACTTATTATGCATTCATTGGTTGATGCTTATATGTGCCTCACCACCAGGGGGCAGCACTGGGCTGACCTTGGCCCCAATGCCCCGCCCCATCGGGTCTGTCCATCAGGAAGCGGGCGGTTTTTCTTCCTTCCACCCCAAGAAAACACACACACACACACACACACACACACACACCAACACACACACACACACACACACAAAACACCACACATGGTCTCGTGTTGCGGGCTCCATCCCCAGTAGGGGGCGTGCAGGAGGCAGCCGGTCCCTGATTCTCTCTCATCATGGATGGTTCTCTCTCTCTCCCTCTCCCTCCCTCTCTGAAATCAACACAAACATATTTTAAAAACAAGCAAAAAGCAGGAAAGAATTACTCACAGGAGATACTCAAATTAGTTTATTGTAATTCTTCAAACAAGTAAAAAACGCCCCCTCCCCGTGTGTGTATATAATTTTTTTGCTGCTCTTTATGTCCGGGTATAGCGTCCTTTCCTGGAGGAGACGCTGGCTGACGGCGGGCTGGTCTGCCTCCTGCCCGTCCTGAGGGTACACTCGGCGCGAGTCCGGTTTGAGGGTTCCCCGAGGGTTCCCCGAGGCTCTCCTGAGCATCCTCTCGCTGGCGAGGACGCCCTCATCTTCTCCGTCTCCCTTGGAAACGGGGCTCCCCTCCGCGAGGCAGGGCGGACGCTGCGTCCTGGGCCAGGGGCGCGATCTCCAGAGGTAATCTTGGGCGCAAAAGGCTGCATATTGCTGCGCAAAACAGGCTATAGCTAAGGACACATTTTTGTTTTGTTTTTTCCTCAAGAAATATAGGAGGCACCAAAAAAAGGGGACCGCTCAGGGAGGGGGCTGCCTCCTCCACGTGGTATGGAGCCGCAGGCAGGGGGCCCCCTGGCCTGTGGATGAGGAGCTTCCCCGCCCCCCAATAGGAATGGCTGTCCTGTACTGGCTGAACCCAGACAGATGCGGGTGGGGTGGGGGCGGGCTTCCTCCCCGTGGGAAAGGGGCGCAGCCTGGTGTCCCAGCAGCCTCGCCTGGTGGGGGCTGCCACAGTGACCAGAGGGTCGGTGCCTCGCCTCTCTCCCGGGGCACCGGCCCCAGGCCTGCACGGAAGTGTCTTCGGAGGAGAAACGGGGCAGCAGGCTGGCGGCCTTGCTCGGAGGCGAGCAACTCCAGTGGGCAGTTCAGAACTTTGCTTTTTGGACCTAAGGTGTCTTTGCAGCTCCTGCCGCCGGAGCCGCCCGTCCCCGGGGCCATCGCTACACCGCACCCCGCCCTGCGAGGTAGGTTGTCCGGTGCCCATCCTAACAGCGGCGCCCGAGGCCGGTGGCAG